GCTCAAACGCGTTTCTTCCAACTCCTCTAGCATGGTTCTTGGTGACTTCTCCGCAACATAATTATGTTAAGCTATAATCCCGCTTAACATCGAAAATCAAAATATGATTTTCCAGACTTGTACATGGGTTGCATGATATAGGTGCACCATACTCCGTAGACTAGGACTGACTCAAATAGAATAAAATTGGGGACTACTTGATTTTTCAAAAATACATTCGGCTCATCAAAATTTACAATATATTCCTAACAATTTTCTCTTGGATTAACCACTGTTTGAGAGGGTAGTTTGCCAGAACTCTGTGCTTCCAACCGACTAACCGTAGTTGCTAGTTGGCCCATTTGTCTTTCCAAGTTTTGAATACTAGCATTTGTTTCTTGAATACTAGCTCTTGTCCCTTGTTGGAATAGTTGTGTTTCTTGTTGAAACTGCAAAGTGTTAGTAGCAAGAGATTTAACAATATCTTCTAGATTCATACTTGAGCTAGAGCCTTGGGTTGGTCGTTGTCTTGAAGGAAATGGTTGTCTATACTGCTGAAAATTAGAACGATTCTGAACAAACTGGTTCCCTTGTGAGTTCCCATAGCTAAGGTTTGGGTGATCCCTCCATCCAGGATTATATGTATTGGAAAATGGATCATACTTACCTTGAGGTTGCCCAGGAAAACCTCTAGCCATGTTAACTTGTTCAATAGGTTCTTCTTGAAGAGTTGGGCTGGCATCAGTTTGATGCCCAACTATCGAGCAAATTCCACATGCTTTTACAGTTTGCATATTGCCTACTGCTAATTGACGGACAAGAGTAGTTAAACCAGAAATTTGTTGTTCAAGAGCAGAAATATTTACCTCATTCACTTGCTTAGACGGTTGGACTATTCTATTGCCAAACTGTTGAGAATTTGCAGCCATATTCGCAATTAGAGTTCTTGCAGCGTCTGGTGTCTTGTCAACTAAAGCACCACCGCTTGCGGAATCAATCATGCTTCTATCCATTGAAAAAAGTCCTTCATAAAAGTATTGAATGAGTAATTGATCACTAATTTGATGGTGTGGGCAGCTTGCACAAAGCTTTTGGAAACGCTCCCAATATTCATATAATAACTCTCCATTGTTTTGCCTTATACCACAGATTTCCTTTCTAATATTGGCCGCCCTTGAAGCTGGAAAATATTTTTCAAGAAACGCTGTCTTCAGGTTATTCCATGTGGTGATGCTCCCAGAAGGTAGATAGTATAGCCAATCCTTCGCTGAATCTTTTAACGAAAAGGGGAAGGCTCTCAACTTGATTTGTTCCTCAGTAACCCCAGTGGGTTTCATGCTTGAACCACACAGAATTCCTTTAAGTGTTTGTGAGGATCTTCACCTGCAAGTCCGTGAAAAGAAGGCAAAAGATGGATTAATCAAGATTTTAATTCAAATTGTATGTTAGCATCTAGAGCGGGAAAATTGATGCATAAAGGTTGCTGATCTAAATTTGGAGCTCCAAGCTCTTTTAAATCAGAATTGGTACAACTGGTAGCCAGATCACTAAACTCCAATTTTCTCAAAGCTTGTTTCTTCCACCTGCGTATAGTTCTTTCAATTTCTGGATAGTACGACAAGATTTTTTTATTAGCAGATCGAGTTATAGGCATAAGAAAAAAGGAAATATATTACAGTATTTATGTAAAAGTAACGAAAGAAAAGATTTTTTTTAAATTTTTTTTGGGACAAATGAAAAACAAATAAAGAAATAAATAAATAAGTAAACACAAAATAAGCTAGAAAATCTCCCCGGCAACGGCGCCAAAATTTGGTGAGTTATCGTAGGCTCCCAAATTAAAACCTTACAAACGTAGTAGCGGTAGTAAGGATCGATCCCACGAGGAGTAACTAGTTTAATGTATGTGCTCAAATTAAAGTAAAGGGGGGTTTGGTATGAAGGTGATAATCAAAGAAAATAAACGAATAAAGCAATGAAAACAATATATTGAAAACACTCAGAATAGAAAACCTTGGTTAGCAAAGATCCACCACCGGAATTTAACACTGATCATTGACTCAAAAAGGTAATTGATATGCAATTGAATATTTGTCGTGAAATTATTTCATTTCCGTTTTCCCTTAGTTGTAGGTAACTAAAGCACACGCGGTTTAATTACCCCTAACTACTAAATAACCTAAGACAAGCGCTATAGATTTAATTTAATAGCAGCAATAGGAACTAGGAAAACCGACAAACTAAATAACACAAGCACAAGCGGTTGCATTTAATTTAGGAAAATATTCTTCCTGAAATCAATTATCACTAAGCCGTCAATAATTAACCTCAGTTGCTACTGAATATTAGAATAATTTTTAGTACAACATTATCTAATATAGCAAAGAATTATATCAAATAGGTTAGAAGAATATTTAATACCCAAATGCATAAAAATTATATAATAAAATAAATAAATAATCTTACAGCATAATCAATTCCGGGGCTTTAGTTCACTAAACCAAGCTAAAGAAATTAGTCACGAATGGACATTGACAACAACTTTAAAGAATAATCGAGAAGGGAAGAATGAACATTGAACAAATAAAATAATCTACTATTTATACAATTTTCAAAGTAGACTTCGATCAATCTCCACCGCCCATTTCATATTTTCGCGCTGCACAATCGAATTTTCCGCAAGAGACGCCGTTAGAATAGTGCTCACCTTGACAACTTCAATTGAATCAATTCCCTGATGCGCTGTACTTAGGAAGAAACAAAATATAAAGTTAAGTTGTGTTTTGTCATTTTTCTAAGAAAATGGGCGATTGGGTCATCACTATTAGGCCTAGGATTATTATTATTATTATTATTATTATTATTATTATTATTATTATTATTATTATTATTATATTATTATTATTATTATGGAGAGAAGGATAATTATTATTATAAAATACTAATTAATTAATTAAACTCTAAAATCAAGTAATTATTAAATAATTATAAATAACTAATGCAAAAATATTATAAAAATGTAACTAAAATATGGGTGTAAAATATGCCTATCAATGCGCTTTTTGCAGATCCTTAACATGAACCTGAGCCCCGATGACAAAGACATCTGCTTTCATAAGGAATGTAGGTCTCAATTTATTCTCATTTGGTCATTAATGTTTGCCCCTTTATTCTTGACAGAGGATTTGCTGATTTAGTCATATCAAAGTTCATGATCCACCGTTTTTTGTTCTCTCAATTTGTAGTTGCAAAATATCAACACCAGCAGACTAAAAGAACAATCAATGAGATTGCAGTGGGGTGTCGAAGCTCATATACAAAGAGTGATTGCAGCTCAAGGAGCATCTGCTGTTTTATATAGCAGCCACTCAATCATTTAATTAAAAAAAAAAAACAGAGGTATTATAATTTTTTGACTTTTCTCTAATCATATGATAATGTATACCTATTGCTTGAACAAGTTTCTCTAAATGTCATCAGGTTATTTAAAATATCATGTAGCAGACCAACTAAAATACTTGCAACATCAATACATCATCCCCTAACCTCACATCAAAACCAACATCCAGCCTCACCTCAAAACCACCTGCAAAAACCAAAATCCTACTCCAAAATCTGCTACATCCTACAACCAAAACTACAGGATGTATCAATATCCTAGGTTACAATAATTCCACCCAAAGACGACTTAGCTACCAGCTCAGATTTTGCATATGAGACACCAAATCATGGGAAAAGGGAACTCTTAAATTTCTAAACTCATCACCTACGTATGAATAATTAATAAAAAAAAAATTTAAATATATATAATAAAAAACAAAATCACAACAAAGTTTAAAAAAAAAAAAAAAAAAAAAAAAAAAAACTAGAGAGAAAGTTATTAGTTGATTAGGGTTTATATTTACCTAGACATGAATCAAATCTAAAGTAACTAACCTGATGCGGCTGCTGTAAGCTTCAAAATCTCATCCGTCTTAGAGAAATTAGTGAACCATTGGCTTAGAGAATGATCTTGTTGCAGTGGAAACGACGGTCTTGTTGCAGTGGAAACGGTGGTGCGGAGAGATGTGAAACCAGCGTACTGCTGCTATGGTGTGGAGTTGAAGATTGTACTAAAGAATATTTTTAACACAGATTTCTTTTTTTATTTAGGTCTGATAGAGATTATTTTCTAATGGGGCTAAATGATAAAAATTTTCCAGCAAAATATTTTCACTTTTCCTGACGTTTTATACTAAAATTAATTTTTTAAATAAAACATTTAGGGCCGTTTATTATAAAACGTCATTGAATCTATATCTTTATTGACAAAATAATTATATTTCGTCAGTAAATATTTCAAAATTATTCACTGTCTTTACCAAAATATATAGTGACGTTATTTAATATAACGTCGCAAATTGTTATATTTAGCGATGTTTTTTAGAGCGTCGTTAAAATTTTCGTCGGGAAATGCAAGATTTCTTGTAGTGTGTGTGGTCTTGGTATGTTATCGTATTTAATTATGTTTAGAGCTTGTCCTTAGGGTTTAAATTATAAATCTTGTTGTCGTGATGTTCTTGGTGTTCTTGGGTGGGTTTATGCATGCTCGGGTGTTTATTTAAGGTTAGGGCTTGTTCTTAGGGCTTTGCATATAGATTTCTTGATGATATTGAGGTTCTTGATGCTCTTGGACTGTTATGTGTTTAATCTCGAGTCTTGGCATGTTTAGGGATTGAGTTCAGGGTATAATTGTGATGTTTCTTAGTTTAATTCTTGTTGTTCGGGTCCATATTGTTGTTGATATGTATTGGGATGTGTTTGGACTTGGTTTTGGGTTTACTTGATGAATTCCCAAAGGGGAAAAATGCCAGGTTACTGTTGAGAAAGATGTTGAAGAAGTTGTATTACTTGCTTGTCTCAATGGGGAGACAACAGATAAATATATACAGACTAAGAGACACAATCCTACAGACACAATCCTACATAACTTCAACAACTATATTTCTACAGACACAACTTTTGTGTTTCAACACTCCCCCTCAAGCTGGAGAATGTATATCATATGCACCAAGCTTGTTACAAATGTATTCAATCCTATGACTTCTTAAAGCTTTAGTAAATATATCAGCTAATTGATTATTTGAGCCTATAAAAGATGTAGTAATATCTCCAGAATTAACTTTGTCTCGAACAAAATGGCAATCAATTTCAATGTGTTTTGTCCGTTGATGAAAAACTGGATTTGATGCAATATGCAAAGCTGCTTGGTTATCACAAATGAGCTTCATGGACTCCTTTGTAAAAATCTGCAGTTCGGTAAGGAGGTTTTTCAACCACAAAAGTTCACATGTTCCAACGGCCATAGATCGATATTCGGCTTCTGCACTTGATCGAGCAATAATATTTTGCTTTTTACTTTTCCAAGAGATTAAGTTGCCACCAAGAAAGATACAACATCCAGATGTTGATTTTCTATCCCATGCACCTGCCCAATCTGCATCTGTGTACCCAATAATTTCAAGGTTTCCATGGTCTTTGTATAACAAACCAGTGCCTGGAGATTTTTTAATATATCGTAAAATCTGAATGGCAGCTTCCCAACGACTTTCACGTGGAGATGCCAAGAACTGACTAAATAAAGTAATCTTCCAACCAATCGTCTATATTTTCCCGGATCTTGGATAAGCTCCCCTTGGTTTGGTAGGAGTTTGATATTTGGATCCATAGGAGTGTCAAGAAGTTTACAATTCATCATACCTGTGTCTTCTAGTATATCCAATGCATATTTTCTTTGTGATATGCAAATTCCTTGCTTGGATTGTGCTACTTCAATTCCAAAAAAGTATTTTAACTTCCCGAGATCTTTTGTTTCAAAATGTTGGAATAGATGTTGTTTCAACAATTGTATTCCTTCAACATCATCTCCTGTAATGACAATATCATCAACATATACAACAAGATAAATGCTCTTACCATGTTGATGTCTATAAAAGACGGAATAGTCAACTTTGCTTCGATTTAGACCAAAATTTTGCACTACTATGCTGAACCGTCCAAACCAGGCACGAGGATATTGTTTTAGACCATAGAGAGAACGTTTGAGCTTACAAACCAAGTTACTCTCCCCCTGAGCAACAAACCCAGGAGGTTGCTCCATGTAGACTTCTTCCTCTAAATCTCCATGCAGAAAGGCATTTTTAATATCTAACTGATGCAAGGGCCAATGATGAACGGCAGCCATAGAAAGAAAGATTCTGACCGAAGCAATTTTAGCTACTGGTGAAAAGGTGTCAGTGTAATCAATCCCAAAAACCTGTGTATATCCTTTGGCTACCAGTCGAGCTTTAAGTCTATCAACCTGTCCATTGGGCCCAACTTTCACAGTATAGATCCATCAGCAACCAATAGTTGTTTTACCTTTGGGTAATGGAACTAACTCCCAAGTCCCCGATGAATGAAGAGCAGCCATTTCATCAACCATAGCCTGACGCCAACCAGGGTTGGAAAGGGCTTCTTTAACAGATTTAGGGGCAGAAACAGAAGATAAACATGTGATAAAAGCATTATATGAAGGTGAGAGACGATCATATGAAATAAATTTGTATATGGGAAAGGGATTTCGTGATGACCTGTTACCTACACGACTTGTGATAGGAGAGCTTGTTGCCGGAACCAGGTTCAAGGGCATAAATAGCTCGAGAGATGAATCAGTTGGGATTTCATCGATTTGAACTGTCGTGGGTGGTCGAGAGCGGCGATGATAAGTGTAAGGAAAGGGGGTAACACTGTTGTTTTGTAAAGGAGGTTCAGTAGGTGAGGGACTAGGATTTCTAGGTGATGACGGATCTTGAGGTAAATGTACCTCGGTCCCTCCTTGAAAAGTAGGAACAGGAAGAACATCAGGAAAATGAGAGATGGAGGTCGGTAAACTAGACGAAAAGAAAGGTGATGATTCAAAGAAAGTAACATCAGAAGATACATAAAATCGATGATTATCAGGGGAATAACATCTGAAACCCTTTTGCAACCTAGAGTACCCAACAAACATGCATTTTAAGGATTTTGGGGAAAATTTATCACGCCCTGGGGTAGTGTCCCGGACAAAACAGGTGCACCCGAAAATTTTTAAAGGAAGAGTATGGAGGGGCTTATCGGGAAATAAAATATTATAAGGTATCTTACCATGTAAAACAGATGAAGGCATACGATTTATTAAATAACAGGAATGAAGGATAGCATCTGCCCAGAATTCTGGAGGGACTTTATAGTGGAGAATCATGGTGCGGGCTGTTTCAACGAGATGCCGGTTTTTACGTTCAGATACCCCATTTTGTTGTGGAGTATCGGGACAAGATGACTCATGGAGGATGCCCGCTGAATCAAGAAAGTTAGATAAAGGAGTTGTAAAGTATTCTCCAGCATTATCACTTCGTAAAGTTTCAATAGACACCCCAAACTGATTTTTTATCTCATTAACAAATTTTTGAAGAACATTAAGTACTTCAGAACGGTTTTGCATTAAAAAGACCCATGTACAACGAGAAAAATCATCAGTGAAGGTAACAAAATATTTAAAACCAAGAATTGAATTATAACGAAAAGGTCCCCAAACATCAGTATGAACTAAGGAAAAAGGGAAAGCAACTCTTTTATTAACACGATTAAGAAACAATGTTCTAGAATGTTTGCCAAGCTAACAGGCTTCACACTCTAGGGTAGATAAGTGAGACAAACTACGGACAAGTCGCCATAATTTTTTAAGGCTAGGATGTCCTAGTCGATCATGGGCAAGGGAAGGAGGAATGGTAGCAGTGCAAACTGTAGAAGGTTTTGGGGTAGATAATCGATAAAGTCTTTCTGATTCATACCCCGAGCCAATCATCTTCCCCGAACGACGGTCCTGCATAATGACAGATTCAGAAGAAAAAGTGACCGTACAGTCCAAAGATTTTGTAAGTTGATGAACAGAAATTAAATTGAAAGGACAGTTAGGTATATAAAGAATTGAAGAGAGAGGCAAAGTAGGAAGGGGGGAAGCCTTTCCAATTACAGTAGCCGTACTCTTGGACCCATTATCGAAAAAAATATATGGAAGGGACATATACTTGGTGAAATGAGAAAATAAAGATGAGTTACCAGAGATATGCTCAGAGGCACCTGAATCGATAACCCATGGTCCGCTCAGGCTAGATTGTGATACAAGGGCAGTATGAGTTCCATCAGTGTAGGCTACAAGAGTTAAACCAGAAGCTTTGGGAGTGGCTTTAAATCGAACAAACTCTTCATACTCAACAGCGGAAATGGTTCGGGAATTTGGTTCCCCAGGTTGAGATTGAGCAACACTTGCTTGGGTTGGGTACGTACCGGTCTCCCATGAAGTTTCCAACATTGATCTCGTGTGTGCCCAGTTCTATTACAATAATCACAGACTCTAGTGTTTTTCAGTCCACCACGATTGTTAGTTCATCCAAGACTTCCTTGTGTGACTAGAGCAGATTGTTCGGTAGTGGATATGTGAGTACCTGGAATGGAGGTGACCTGCCAGAGCCGTTTGAACAACTCGGTGGTCCCCGAGACAGTGTTGCTTCCAAGAACTTGATTCCGGATGCTTTCAAATTCTGGACCTAATTTGGTTAAGAGAAGTATGACAAAGAATTTCTCTCGTTGGGTAAGTTGCTCTGCGGGTGTACCACCAATAGGCATAAGTGTACCAAACTCAGCAATCAAACTTTGGGCTTTGCCAAGAAAAGTTTCCATATCAATATCATTTTTTTTCAAGTTAACCAAATTGTCAACAACATTATAGAATTGAGAGACATCATTAGTGTACAGAGATTGAGCTTGACTCCACACCCTGACACGTGTCTTAAAGGGCCGGAATAAAGGCAACAATTATGGAGAAAGAGACTGCCGAAGGAGACTACAAAGTTGAGCATCTAACCTTTGCCAAACTGTATTTTCTTTTTCCGGTATCATATCCACTTCTTTTTGCAAGTGGTCAACAACACCTTGGCCCATAAACCATAATTCTACGGCATCCAACCAAGAGTGGTAATTTTGAGAACCACATAATCTTTCAGAAGTGATTACCGGGTTTCCAGACAGATTAGGCACATAAACAGAGCTCGAAGAAGTAGGTAAATTATTGGCAGGAGAAATAGTGCGCGAATTATCAGAATTTTCGTCGGAAGACATCGTGACCAAAAAAAATCTAATTGCACGGAAAGAAAGGAGGAGAGCCGACGATACGATCTGGAGAGTATCGCCGGAAAAGGCCGCCAGAGACGGCCTCACGCGGCGGCACGTGGTGTCGGAGCGCCGGCGACGTGGTGGCGCGTGGAGGAGATTCCGGCGACCGGAATTGATGGGTAAAGGTCGCCGGAGGATGGGTAAGGGGGTTGTAGTACTAATTTGATAAAATATCTCACCAATAGCAAGTAATTTGAAAAACTAGTTTTGAATGAACAGTAACATGTACTGTTCACCGAAAAAAAAAATTTCAAATTTTGACTTTGGCTCTTGATACCATGTTGAGAAAGATGTAGAAGAAGTTGTATTACTTGCTTGTCTCAATGTGGAGACAACAAATAAATATATACAGACTAAGAGACACAATCCTACAGACACAACCCTACATAACTTCAACAACTATATTTCTACAGACACAACTTTTGTGTTTCAACAGTTACCTTCGTACCAGTAGGGGGTCGGTGGGGGGATGAACCCCCACCTGACCACCCGTCGGGTACCGTCCCCCGTACCAGCAGGTGGACGTCCACCCACCGTGTACCCACTGGTACAGTGCCACCCACCGGCGGGGCGGGGTGCTGTTTTACACCGTTTGTTATTTCCCCGTGCCCCGTTGTGCCCCGGTTGGTGTTTATGAGTTTCGAGTGATGTTCCTGAGTACCGTTTTACGAGTTGTGTGTAGTGGTTGTTGTTGTTATGGAGCTTTGTTTTTGTTGTTGTTGAGAATTGATTATCGATGTTGATTAAGTGTTGTTGGTTGTTGTTATTGCGGTGCACCGGTTGTTGTGATTGATTTGTCCATGATGGGAAATGTGATGTGATTGGTGGAAAAGATTTGTTGGCGGTTAGCACAACGAGTGCTCGGTCATTGTGCTATAGGCACAGACCACCCTTGATTTGCTTGCTAAAGGCATGGATCAAGTTATAAGCGCTGCGGTGCCATGTCTTTGTGCTATAGGCAAGACCCCTTGATTATTGTGCTATAGGCACAAATCATGTGTTAATGGTACTGTGGTGCTACCAGATCGGTGGATTTGTTGGCAGTATGTCGGTGGGGAGCATGCATGCTTCGGAGGGATAAGGGAAGCGTTATAAGGGTGGCCTGGAGGTACAGGTTGGAACTGATATAAGGATGGAGAGGAGTAAAGGTTGGAACTTGGTATAAGGTTGGATCATGGATGTATTCTCTATTGATTGTTTGATGTTATTGATTGTTGTTGAACCCCATTGTTGTCGTTGTTTGTTATTATTGAGCTTTGTTATTATCTTATCATGCGAGCTTAGGATGCATGCTAGTATCCTTATAGTGTTTATGGTGTCAACTTTTCGTTATGTCCCGATCTTAGTTTCAAAGTTAGCGTTGCTTAGATTTATATATGTATTCCAGTCTCAAAATGATTTCCTATACTTATACTTATTGTACTCAACGGGTGGGAGTGTGTTGCTCAACATTATTCGCTGACGGTTGTTACACCGTATGTTTTCAGGTACAGATCAGTAATTTCGGAGTGCGCTAGAGGGATGCAAGAACTTAGCTTAGATAGTTTTAGTCTTGATAGATGGCCTGCGTGCCTTGACTTGTATTTTGGAAATCGAATTTGAATTATGTTCTGTTTAGTTAGTTAGCCTATGCATCTAAGTTCTCAAACTTGGATGTGGCATAGCACCCCGAGTCTTATGCTTAGTTTATGCTCTGTTTGGGTAATTAATGATAGATTCGCATTTATTTCATAACCTTTAAATGCTTTAAAAATTAGGGGTGTTACATAAATTGTTTCATCAAACCTTACATGCATGCACAAATAAACCTTGTTAGTCTGTAAGTCCATGCATCTATACCCCCGAAACGACTCATGATAACCTAGGAAAACACACGGGGAGGACCAACATGAGAGTTTGTGACGATTGTATGGCCTGAGATATGGATAACATAGACACCCAAAGACATGAAGAAAAGTATGTGAAGGATTGGAATTATGCACTTTAAAATGGGGACTGAGATTATTTAATACAACTGTAACACCCGCAATTTTCAACATAATTTAAAACCATTAAAGCTTACGAAATAAGGATAAAGCTATCATTAATACCCAAAACAGAGCGGAAGCTAACCATAAGTGTTGGGGTGCTATGCCACATATAAGCTTGAGAACCTAGATGCACAGGCTAAAACTAACTAAACAAAGCATAAACCATAATCATTATCCAAATACAAGTATGGCTCACAGGCCATCTAACTAAGCTAGTAACCGTAGATCCTTCTAGCGCGCTCTTGGCCAACTAATCAGTACCTGAAAAACATGCGGTATCACAACCGTTAGCGAATAATGCTAAGCAACCCACTCCCACGCGTTGAGTACAATATACATAGATATAAGAAAACCATTTTGAGACTTGGGAATACATAGATATAGTCCTAATCAACTCTAGCTTTAAAGTTCAAATCATGACTCATGGCATATCGTAGATACCGACACGTTAAAACCACATCAAGATACAAGCATGAAAACTATGACCATAGGACAAGACAACGATAAGGAACACATGACGTTATGCCATGGAACCGTGTTCACCATGAATGGTGAACACGGTTCCAACGGTGTTAGTACACCGTTTTTTTTTTTAATTAATTGCGTGACTTTTCTTCTTTATTTTCACATTTTGCGGTTTCACTTTAATTTGAGGTGAACAAAGATTTCGAACATTCATAAATTATGAATTCATGCCTGCACATTCACTTTGGAACCATGCCTACACATTCCCGTCCGAAATCACGGACATTCATAAATTATGAATCCATGCCTGCACATTCACTTTGGAACCATGCCTACACATTCACTTTGGAACCATGAGATTATGAATTTTCTGTTATAAGATTATGAATTTTATGTTATGAGATTATGAATTTTCAGTTATGAGATTATGAATTTTCTGTTATGCGATTATGAATTTTCTGTTATGAGATTATGAATTTTCATTACATTCATAATTTCGGACATTCATAAATTATGAATTCATACCTGCACATTCACTTTGGAACCATGCCTACATATTCCCGTCCGAAATCACGGACATTCATAAATTATGAATCCATGCCTGCACATTCACTTTGGAACCATGCCTACACATTCACTTAGGAACCATGAGATTATGAATTTTCTGTTATAAGATTATGAATTTTCTATTATGAGATTATGAATTTTCAGTTGTGAGATTATGAATTTTCTGTTATGCGATTATGAATTTTCTGTTATGAGATTATGAATTTTCATAAAATTCATAATCTCATAACAGAAAATTCATAATTTGATCAAACGCGCGCCGTTAACTCCACATCCGCGAATTTTTTTTTTTGCCTAAAAACGACGTCATTTTGCCTTGTGTTCACCATTCTCGGTGAACACGATTCCATGGCATAATTTGCGCCAACCTTATACCAAGTTCCAACCTTTACGCCTCTCCAACCTTATATCAGTTCCAACTTGTACCTCCAGACCACCCTGTACTCCACACCCTTATCCCTCTGGAGCACCGCATGTTCCCCTCCAACATGACCTCCGACATTCCACCGATCTCTCAGCACTCGCAGTGCCATTACATAACATGATTTGTGCCTATAGCACAATGATCAAGCACACGCAGTGCCATTACATAACATGATCTGTGCCTATAGCACAATCATCAAGTGATCTGTGCCTATAGCACAATGATCAAGCACACGCAGTGCACATAACACAAGTACTCGCAGTGTGTCATACCTCCAACATATCTTTTCCACCAATCTCACATCTTTTCGTCACCGTGGGCAATAACACGACACTCAAGACTCAACAACAATCACATCAAGGGATAACCAGGGAAAGAGACACAACATGTGGATAGACTCATAATGACACGGGATGTCAACCTAAACATACAACCTACGGGGTATAACACAAACCATCCTTTGGACCCACACAATATAAGTTTAGACCACATGCTTAGACACGACCCACAAATCACATTACGACATTTAAGACATCATGCTAAACTCATGCACGTCAAACGAGACACAATGGGGCATGGGGAAACGACCAACGGGGGAAAACAACACACTGCACCGCCCATACCAGCGGGCGGTATGGCGGGAGGACGACCTCC